TTTCAGTCATACAATGTTCCAACACCCATCCCCCCACCAGTACGCATTTCCCACCACCAATATCCCCCTGTATCCCTCCTTCCACCTCCTGCAGCTCCCCCAGCCTGCATCTAGAGTAGGAATCTCTCTCTCTCTCTCTCTCTCTCTCTCTCTCTCTCTCTCTCTCTCTCTCTCTCTCTCTCTCTCTCTCTCCTTTTGGACATTATAGTTTGCAATACAGATACTGAGAGGCCACCCATTTGATTGTTTGCCCAATTTCAGCACACATCTCCAATCTGGAGCAATCCTTTCCATCCACTATCAAAATAATGGTCCCTTCTCTGTCCACACTCCCCTCTCCCCCAGTCCTTGAAGCAGGCTTCCAATAATAAACCATTCGTCCTAACCTAGAAGGACACTTTTGAGGTGAAGTCAGTAAGTGGAAATCCAGCTCTCCTTATTGGCACCAAACCATCAAGAGCAAAGTTGACTCAGGGAGCTGATGAGTCACAGCCACAACCTTGATTTCAACAACCCCTTAAATCAGTCAAAATGGGGGCTGGGATGGGTAGATCCCAGTGTGACCCAGTGTGTGAAAGTCTATAGATATTAAGCTGGTGTCTGCATAATTTTACATTTGAAAAAGTTATATTAAATTTTAAAATAAACCTAGTAGGGCTGGAGCGATAGCACAGCGGGTAGGGCATTTGCCTTGCATGTGGCCCACCCGGGTTCGATTCCCAGCATTCCATGTGGTTCCCTGAGCACCACCAGGAGTAATTCCTGAGTGCAGAGCTAGGAGTAACCCCTGTGCATTGCCAGGTATGACCCAAAAAGAAAAAAAGAAATAAATGTAGTATGAGGCTAATATCCAAGGACAATAGAAACAAGGGTCAGAAGGACTATTCCTCTTGCCACAAGTGGAGGTGGGCAGTTAGGATAAAAAAGGAACCACTATGACAATGACAATCACTTGATCACTTGATCCCCCATTATTCATCGAATTACTCAAGCGGGTGCCAGTAACGTCTCCATTCATCCCTGTTGCGTGCAAGCATAGCCCAATAACATCTGTTCGTTCTAGGAACATGCAGAGCCTCAAACTGATCATTCAGGGTCTTGACGAAGAAGTCTGACCATCTTGTAGGTGGGCATCCACACGATCTTTTGACGTCCCATGGAATCCAGTCAGTAATGGCTCTAGTCCAGCGGTTGTCTGTAAACCTCATTACGTGTCCAGCCCATCTGATTTTTGATGCCTTGGCAAATGAGACAGCGTCCCTGATTCTTGAGCATTGACGGAGATCAGAACTCCGGATTCTATCTCTCATTTGAGTGAATCGTGATATTCCAAGCATAGTTCTTTCGATTCCTCTTTGAGAGACCCGAATAGCATTCTCATCCTGTTTTCGTAGGGCCCAGGTCTCTGAGGCATATGTTAATGCAGGAAGAACAGTGGAATCGAAGAGATGTGCTCATAGCTGGAGGTTCTTTGTCCTCTTAGTTATTTCTTCAACGCTCTTGAAGGCATTCCAAGCCGCTCTCTTCCTCCTGTGCAACTCAGGTGCCAGGTCATTCATCATGTTGATTTCCCGACCTAAGTATGTATAACTGTTGCATTCAGAGATGGTGGTTCCGTTGAGAGCGAATGGAGCGTCCGGAACGAGGTTGTTTCTCATAAACATTGTCTTCGTAAGATTCAGCTGTAGTCCGACCTTTCCACACTCACGGTCGAAGTCGGTCAGCATTTGTGCCGCTTGGCTGATGTTTGGTGTTATTAGAACGATGTCATCAGCAAAGTGAAGGTGGTGTAGTTGCCGACCATCTATCTTCACTCCCATTCTTTCCCATTCCAGTCGTCACATGATGTTCTCGAGGGTGGCACTGAAGAGTTTTGGTGAAATGGTATCACCCTGCCGAACCCCTCTCTTGACATGGATGATTACTTCGTTGTAGAATAGTGAGATTCTGGTAGTGAATCCATAGTAGAGCTCACGAAGGATCCTGCTGTATTGAGTTTGTACGCCCTGATTGGCTAGGACTTCAATGACTGCTTCCGTCTCAACAGAATCAAAGGCCTTCTTTAAATCAATGAATGTTAGACAGAGTGGCATCTTGAACTCCTGAGAAACCTCAATGAGCTTAGTAATTGTGTGGATATGGTCGATGGTACTGAATCCTTTTCGGAATCCAGCTTGTTCACATGGGTGTCCTTCATCTAGTGTTCTGCTCATTCTATTCAGGATGACTCGAGTGAACAGTTTGTAGATGACAGACAATAGGCAGATTGGGCGATAGTTACCAATGTCGTGGATGTCTCCCTTCTTGTACAGTAGTACAGTCCTGCTGGTTTTCCACTGGGATGGAACCTTGCATTCAGACAGGTAGGGTGTGAAGAGCCGAGCCAGTGTATTGATGAGTAAAGGCTCGAGAGTAACGTCTCCATTGGAGACTTTGTTGTTACTGTGTTTGGCATATCGAATACTCTCGGTAGCTTGCCGGACTCTCCGAGAGGGGCGAAGGAATCGAACTCGGGTCGGCCATGTTGGCCGCTTGTAAGGCAAACGCCCTACCGCTATGCTATCGTATTGATGAGTACTGATGGTAAATTCTTCAGGTGTTCAGGTCTGATCTTGTCTGGGCCAGTTGCTCTTTGTCTCTTTACCGACGAGATGGCATGTTGGATTTCAGAAGGGAGGACATTGGGAACAACATATCCATCATGCAGAATGTGGTATGTGGGCAAGTGGATCTGGCTATTAAAGAGATCTGAGTAGAAGTCATGAATAATCTTCTCCATTGCCCTTCTGGAAGATGTGATAGATCCATCAGGATGTCGGAGGGCAGTCATCTTGGTCTTGTAGTTGGTGAAGGACAGGCGGGCATTACGAATGCTTTTCCCGGCTTCTGCCACATCTATCAGCACCGCTGCTCTCCTTTCTTTGAGGTCATCCTTTATGGCTTCTCTGCATTGTTTTGCCAGCTCAGAAGTTCGTTTGTGGTTGCCTGGGGCAAGTGCGAATAAGTTCAAGAGTGTTCGAAGAAAGGCGGTTTTTTGTGGTTATCTCTCTCTTGGCATTCCTCGCACAATCATGGAGGTGCTGAATCATTCGATCGTATTCCTCATCAATGTTGACAATGATGGCATCTTCCATGACAATGACAATGATAGTTGAAAATGATCACTTTGGACAAGAATTAAGCAACGAAACTGGATAAGGAATACACACGATAACCTTTCAGTACCTGTGTTGCAAACTATATGAGGAGGGAGACAGAGAGAAAGAGAGAGAGAAGAGAGAGAAGAAAAGTGCTTGCCATAGAGGGGGCTGGGGTAGGGGATGGGGTATGTGGTGTAGGGAGGGAGACTGAGGAAAGGTACAAACTTGATGAAGTGTACTTGGAACATCCTATGACTGCAACCCAATCAAGAACAACTTTGTAATTCTGTATCTCAAGGTGATTCAATTAAAAAAAAAAAAAACAGCGCTGTAGCACTGTCCTCCCATTGTTCATCGCTGTTCATCGATTTGCTGGAGTGGGCACCAGTAACATCCATTGTGAGACTTGTTGTTACTGTTTTTGGCATATCGAATACACCACGGGGAGCTTGCCAAGCTCTGCCGTAAGGGCAGGATACTCTTGATAGCTTGCTGGGCTCTCCAAGAGGGACGGCAGAATAAAACCCTGGTCGGCCACATGCAAGGCAAACAACCTACCTGCCGTGCTATAGCTCCAGTCCAGTACTCAGTATAAAAACAAATTAAAGTTGACATTTCTAAAACCACTTTTTTAAATTTTATTGAATCACCGTGAGATATAGTTACAAGCTTTCATGTCTGAGTTACAATCACACAATGATCAAACACCCATCCCCCCACCAGTGCACATTCTCTACCACCAATATCCCCAGTATACCCCCACCTTACCCACCCTCCCACTGCCTTCATGGCAGACAGTATTCCCCATACACTCTCTCTCTCTACTTTTGGGCATTATAGTTTGCAATACAGATAAAGAGAGGTAAAACCATTTTTTTAATATTTGGCATTTCTGTATTACATATTACTGTGTGATAGAGAAGTCTTGTAAAGGTATTTTCATTTTGTTGACATCATCTGTTTGCACTTTGATCTCCTCATTAACCTATCCTTCTCTAAAGAAGTAACAACATATTCCTTCCCTTACCCTCCTAGGCTGACCCAAGTTCCATTCCTCTGCCCCTCTCCAAGTGCCTGGCAAGCTACTGAGAGTATCTCGCCCGCACGGCAAAGCCTAGCAAGCTACCCGTGACGCATTCGATATGCCAAACACAGTAATAAGTCTCACAATGTTACTGGGCCCGCTAGGGCAAAATCGATGAACAACGGGAGGACAGTGACAGTGACCCTCGTAGGCAGATCTGTACACTTGGAGATAGACAGATAGATAGATAGATAGATAGATAGATAGATAGATAGATAGGTAATGTTTGTCTTTTTTGGCCACACCAGGTGGTGCTGCTCAGAGACCTCTCCCACTTTTTGCCAGGGGTGGATTGCTCAATACTGGGCTCAGGGACCATCGCTGGGGGTGCTCCTTTATGCTCCCAACCCTGTGGCTCTTTCTCTCTCCAGCCTCCAAATAGCTGTTTTCAAGAAAATTCTCCCAGTAACATAGGACCAAAGATATTAATGGGTGGTGGGGGTTGAGGTGAGAAGGAGGGGGTGGGGCGGTTTTAGCAGATGCCCTGAAAAGTTTTTCACTCAAGCTTTTGGACTTGCTCTGGGACTGGGGAGTTTCCCTTCATCAAAAAGAGTTTGTCCCTTTAAGACAAAAACCAGGAAGTTGAAAGTGGCTGCAAGGGAGAGGATGGAAGGGAGGTGGAGGGATCAGAGGTGGTAGGGCTGCTGGTCTACAGTTAAAGTCACTGGGCACTTCCTCTGGAAAGTGGGGTGAACGTTTCTGAAGCAGGTTTGACCCACGTTTTTCTGCCCCTGGAAAGGAGGGAGGCGCTGGGTACAGGGGGTGTAGCAGAAAGGGGTGGGGTGGAATAGCCCCGCCCATTGGCTGTTTGCACGCAGTTGCTTTAAACCTCTCGGAAAAAATAAACAAAACAATTACAAGTGCTGGGGGAACTTCCAGATCCTTGCAGAAGGGATCAGCTCCCGGCTGCTGAGAAGGAGTGAAGCCCGGGACCACAGCAAAACTCTCAGCTCTGAGCCTGGCAAGTGTAAGTCTTTCCCCGTGGCGCAAAGGTCAATAAATCTGGTTTCGCTGATCTGCATTCTCTGGCCGCGGTCTGCCTGGACGCACACATCCTCTCTTTTGTCATCTCTTTTGTCATCTCTTCTGTAGGACCGGTCCCTGTCGCTGAAGGGGAAGACCTCCGGAACTATGACCCCGAAAAGAATTGCTGTGATTGGCGGAGGCGTGAGCGGGCTCAGTTCTATCAAGTGCTGCTTGGAGGAAGGCTTGGAGCCCGTCTGCTTTGAAAGATCCGATGACATCGGAGGGCTCTGGAGGTACCAGGTAAATCAGGCTCCTCGGTGCACCGTGAGCATAAACCATGCGCACGATGCTTTCCCAACTGCTAGGAAAGAGCGTGGACTTCACGGACATACTTCCGGTCCGCTTGATGCCTGTAGCCCGCACTGTCTTCCCAGGGGACGCCTCTCATCTCTGGCTCTCTACGAGTCCCTTTGCTCTGGGCTGGCAGCAAAATGGGAGTGGGGAATCACTCGGTTTTCCTTTGCATGCGCCCACAGAAGTGACACATTTTCAGTGAGGTTTGTTGCTATCCAGAAGAGGATAGCCATCCCAGGGGCTGACATAGTAACATGCATCAGAAACCTGTAGTGTGATTAAAAACACCCGAGGTTGATCTTGTCCTGCTTTAACAGGTCCTGATCTAGAGCCCTATTTATGGTTCCTTTCAAGGACCTGCTTACCCTCTTTCCCTTCCTCCCTCCCTTCCTTTTCTATCTACCTTCCTTCCTTCTTTCTTTCTTTCTTCCTTCCTTTCTTTCTTTCTTTCTTTCTTTCTTCCTGTCTGTCTTCCTTCCTTCCTTCCTTCCTTCCTTCCTTCCTTCCTTCCTTCCTTCCTTCCTTTCTTTCTCTTTTTTGCTTCTGGTTCACATTAGATAATTCTCTGATAATCCTAGGCCTTGAGGAGACTATATATCTGTCTTTTTTGTTTTGAAGTTTTATTTCATCTGAGAAGTGAAATCAACTGTTCAAAGTCCTGTTTTCAATAGAGGGCAAAGGGTACCGTCAGCTGATTTTCTAGACCTTGCACATTTTCAGTTTTAAACTGAGATTCTCTTTAATCTGCACATTCAATCCTGAAATTTACCAAACTGAAATATCATTTAGTCCGGGGTGAGAGTGAGAATACTGGGGTTAAAGAGCCTATCTTATATGTTGCCAGTGCTGGCACTATATTGTCCCGTGAGCATTGCTGGGGCCAGCCCTGTAGGCCCTTGAGTAAACCTGATGCTTCCTGGCATGGTACAACTGAAGCAGCATCAAATCTTTGGACCTCACATTGAACTCCTGGCAACAGGAGGGGCCCCTGGAGCCTCCTGATTGGTGCTTGAGAACCCTCCCCCAAAAGATATCTACTTCATGACATTAAGCAAATTAAACATTATAGTATCAACCTCTTTTCCTGATTGCCAAAGTGAGATGCATTGTATTTACTTTTAAATTCACTTTCAAAGCCACTGATTGGAATTGAAGTATCCAGACACCTGTTCCAGAGAAACTTGTCCCGTTGTTCATCCATTTGCTTGAGCAGGTGCCAGTAACGTCTCCATTCATCCCTGTCACATGCGTGATAGGGTAGCCAAAGGCATATTGGGGCTCTTTCAGGGTCAGGGGAATGAGACCCATTATTGTTACTGTTTCTGGCATATCGAATACGCCATGGGTAGCTTGCCAGGCTCTACTGTGTGGGCAGGATACTCTCGGTAGCCTGCTGGGCTCTCTGAGAGGGCCAGGAAACTAATGGGGTGTAAACTGGCCAAAGGAAAGGCAGATTTCCCAGATGAACAGTCTTATGATCTTTTACATCATGGCTCTGTCTTTAGGGCCTATTTGATAATAGTTCTTACATCTAGAATGAACCCCGCTTTAACAGAATCCTATGCTTTTTGTTAGAATTAGTATCTGGGAATGAACTAGAAGGCTGCTAATTTCTAGTCAGCAATCAAAAATTCTTTAGAATTCCAACCATAACCTAGTGTCAAGGTTAAGAGCATAGTTTGGCCCAAATCCTGAATCTTCACCAATGAGGGATAATCATTAAGCCCCTATGCACTTCAGTTCCTCGTCTTTAAAAAGATATGTGCAGTGCCCACTCATAGAGTTATTGTGGGGATGAAATGGATAGGTAGTATGTATGCCATGAATGACCACATATCAGTTCCGGCCCAGTTACTGAAGTGGGACTCACATTTGTTGCCACTGGAAAACTCCCTACTTAGATCCAATTTGGCAACTACTTATCAGGTATGAGATCAGTTAACACTGGGAGGGTTCATTCGATGTACTGGATTATCAGGTTTCTGATTTTTATCTCCAGTGTGACATATACTTATTCTATGCTAAACATTTCATTTGAATTTTTTTTCTGATTGTTTTCTTGGCAAAATTTCTGACTTTTGTTCAGTGGAACAAATTTTTGCTTTCTGAACATCTGAACAAATATATGCATTCAAAGATATTACACCAGGGTGATAGATCTTATACATACACATATCTGGTAGCCTAGCCCTCTTTTTGCTTGTTTTGATTTGGGGGGCCGGGAGTACTCAAATCTTACTCCTGGCTCTATGCTCAGGGATCACTCTTAGAGGGGCCTGAAGGACCATATGAGGTGCAGGGCCTCAAGCCTGGGTCACCTGCACACAAGGCAAGCACCCTGTCCGCTCTGCTATCCCTCTGGCCCCCTACAGTAGTCCTCTTTATCTGGGGTTTTGCTTTTGCATTCTCAGTTACCTATAGTTATCAATGCTCCAAAACTATTGCATACAGTTAAGATTTTTGAGAGGTCATATTCACATAACTTTTATTGCAGTAAAGTCTATATTTCTATCTTATTGAAAGTTACCTTTTTTTCCCCTTTACCTACTTTAATTTTTTCACTTTTTTTTATTAGTGAATCACCATGAGGTACAGTTACAGGCTTACAAACATTCGTGCTTGTGTTTCAGTCATACAATGATCAAGTACCCATCCCTCCACCAGTGCCCATTTCCCACCACCAATGGTCCCAGCATCCCTCCCACCACCCCCACCCCGTCCCCTCCACCCACCCCGCCTCTGTGGCAGGGCATTCCCTCTTGGGCGCTCTCTCTCTCTCTCTCTCTCTCTCTCTCTCTCTCTCTCTCTCTCTCCCTCTCTCTTTGGGTGTTGTGGTTTGCAGTAGAGGTATTAAGTGGCCATTATGTTTGGTCTATAGTCTACTTTCAACCCACATCTCCCATCCCGAGCGGGTCCTTCTAGCACCTTTTACTTGGTGGTCCCTTCTCTATCTGAGTTGCCTTTTCCCCCAGCATGTGAGGCCGGCTTCTAAGCTGTGGAATAATCCTTCTGGTACTTATCTCTACTATTCTTGGATATTAGTCTACCATTCTGTTACTTTATATTCCACAAAGGAGTGCAATCTTTCTATATCTGTCCCTCTCTTTTGGACTCATTTCACTTAACATGATGCTCTCCATGTTGATCCACCTATATGCAAATTTCATGACTTCATCTTTTCTCAAAGCTGCATAGTATTCTATTATGTAGATGTACCAAAGTTTCTTTAACCTGTCATCTGTTCCCAGACACTCAGGTTTTTTCCAGATTTTGGCTATTGTAAACTGCTGCAATGAACATATAAGTGCAGATGTCATTTCTACTATACTTTTTTGCATCTCTGGGATATATTCCCAGAAGTGGTATTGCTGGGTCAAGTGGGAGCTCAATTTCTAATTTTTTGAGAATCATCCATACTGTTTTCCAAAAGGGCTGAACCAGTTGGTATTCCCACCAGCAGTGAAGGAGAGTCCCTTTCTTCCCACATCCGTGCCAACACCATTGCTTTTGTTCTTTTGGATGTGGGCCAATCTCTGTGGTATGTGAGATGATATCTCATTGTTGTTTTGATCTGCATCTCCCTGATGATTAGTGATGAAGAACATTTTTTCATGTGACTTTTGACCATTCAGATTTCTTTTTTTAGAAAATTTCCGTTCATTTAATTGCCCCATTTTCTGATGGGGTTGAATGTTTTCTTCTTGTGGAGTTCAACCAGTGCCTTGTAAATCCTTGATATCAACCCCTTATCAGATGGGTATTGGGTGAATATCCTTTCCCATTCTGTAGACTGTCTTTGTTTTCTGGTCACTTTATCTTTTGAGGTGCAGAAGCTTCTCAGTTTAAGGTAGTTCCATTTGTTTATCTCTGTTTCTGCTTGCTTAGCCAATGGTGTGTCACCTTTAAAGATATCACTAACTTCCATGTCCTGGAGGGTTTCGCTGATCTTGTCTTCAATGTACCTAATGGATTCTGGTCTGATGTTGAGATCTTTAATCGATTTTGATCTGACTTTTGTGCATGGTGTTAGGTAGAGATCTGAGCCCATTTTTTTGCATGTAGCTGTCCAGTTTTGCCAGTACTATTTGTTAAAGAGGCTTTCCTTGCTCCACTTCACATTTCTCACTCCCTTATTAAAGATTAGAGGATCACATATTTGAGTGTGTGTCAGAATATCCAACTCTGTTTCATTGGTCTGTGGCTCTGCCTTTGTTCCAGTACCATGCTGTTTTAATTATTACTGCTTTGTAGTAAAGATTGAGGTTGGGGAAGGTGATGCCTCCCATCTTCTTTTTCCCAAGAATTGCTTTAGCTATTCATGGGGGCTTATTGTTCCATATGAAATTCAGAAGTGTTTGATCCATTTCTTTGAAGAATGTCATGGGTATCCTTATAGGGATCGCATTGAATTTGTACAATGCTTTCGAAAGTATTGCCATTTTGACAATGTTAATTCTCCCAATCCAAGAGCAGCTGCTATTTTTCCATTTCCTCGTGTCCTCTTTTAGTTCATGTAGTAACGTAGTAGCGTTTTGTAGTTTTCTTTATACAGGTCCTTTATCTCCTTAATTTAGCTGATTCTGAGGTACTTGATTTTCTGAGGCATGATTGTTAACGGGTTTGCTTTTTTCACGTTACTTTCTCCTCTCTCATTATTTGCATATAGGAAAGCCATGGACTTTTGGGTATTGATTTTATAGCCTGCAACTGAAAGTTACCATTTTTTTTATCTCTCACTATGCTTAATGTGTAAAGCATGTGGTACTAGACGCAAGGAACAAAATATATGGCACTGTTTTTCTCTAGAATTTCCTCTGAGAGCTGATTCTCTACCCCTTACGTGGCCTCTGTTCTCCCCCATTTTAGGACCCTCTCTTTCATGTAATTCACTGGGACTTTCACCCCTAGGAACTGCTCAAGAACAACTGGCGCTCAGGGCTTCCCTC